TGCTGCTTGGCCTGCTGTGTTCATCCAGCCCTGCACCTTGTTGTCTCGGATTCTCCAGCATCTGCAGTTCCTACTATCACAGAAGAGAATATACTGGGTTGGGGGTGGAGAGACTGTGTTTCTCTAGGGCAGAGAGAATATAGAGGGAGAGCAAGATAAAACCAACAGGGGAGAGAGAAAAAAGTGACAAAAATAGGTGAATGAATATGATATGGGGAAATCTGAAGTCATGCACTTTGGAAGAAGCGATGAAAACTGAATATTATTTAAACAGGGAAAGATTGCGGGGAGCTGAAGCACAGAGGGATTTGGGGAGACCTCATAGAAACAGCTAGCATCTAAGTTTAGTTGGTAATGGGGTAGGCAAATAGGCTGTTGGAATTTATTTCAAAGGAAATGGAATACAAAAATAGGGGGTCTTGCTAAAACTATGGAAAGCATGAGTCAGACCATAGCTGGAATACTATGAACAGTTTTGGTCCACTTATCTAAGGAAAGATATACTGGCATTAGAGTCCAGAGAGGTTCACGAGGTTGATCTCAGATGTGGAGGAATTCTGTTATGAGGAGAGGGCTTGTACTCATTGGAGTTTAGAAGAATGAGAGGAGACCTCATTGAAACACAGGTAGTTCCCCTGTAACGCGATAGTTGCGTTCTTGCGTAAACTCATGCTATAGAAAATCGCTCTATAAAAAATCGCCATAGAAAATCGCATTATAGGGAATTCACTATAACAAATTGCTATACCTGTACAGCAGAAAGTTCGTGTTACCCAAACAGCGTCCACTGTTCATCAATCGCATTACAGCCAATTCACATTAACGAAAAACGTGTTATAGCAGAACTACCTGCTTTAGATTCTTAGGGGACTTGGCAGGGTAACGTGAAGAGGTTGTGGGAGATTCTAGGAGTAAAGGCAATAATGTCAGAGTAAGGAGTAGCCCATTTAAGACAGATTAGGAGGAATATTTCTGTGGAATTCTTTACCGTAGACGGCTGTCAAGGCTGAGTCATTAAGTATATTCAAGGCTGAGATAGTTTTCTAATCAGTAACGGAATCGAGTGTTATGGGGAAAAGGTGAGAGAGTGGAGTTGGGTATTATCAGATCAGTCATGATCTTGTTGAATAGTAGAACAGACTTGATGGGCATAATGGCCTGCTGCTATGTCTTACAGTCTCATTTACAGGAAAGAACGTAGTTCGAATCTACAAGAGTGAGGTGAGAATTTACAGAAGAGTGAGAGGTGAGCATCTATGAGTGAGAAGTGAGGCTTATGTAGGAGTCATTGTGTTTCAGAAATAGAAAAAAACTCCATTCATTTAACCCCACCCCCACCCCTTCCAGCCAATTAAAGGAGTATAGGCACTGTTTTAATGTGGGAAACTCATTTGTACAGTGCAAGATCCCACAGAAAACAATGTGGTCATGTCAATATATCTTGCGATACTGTCTGGGAATAGCCTGTGCCTCACCCTCCGACGCTCCAGGGAAAATAGCCCCGACCTGTTTAGCCTCTCCTTATAGCTGAAATCCTCCAGCTTTTTCAAGTTTCACAACATCCTTCCTGTAGCAGGGAGACCAGAATTGCACAAGATATTTCAAAAGTGGCCTAACCAATGTCCTCTACAGCCCTAACATGACCTATCAACTCCTATACTCAATGCAATGACCAACAAAGGCACACAGTACTCCAAAAGTGGCCGAACCAATGTCCTGTACAGCCACAACATGACCTTCCAACTATCGTTCCTGTAGCATCTATACCCTGGAACATGAAGCTACCAATCCTGTCCATCCCTGAGCCACATCCCTATAATTACTATGATATCCCCGTCCCATGTTCCCAACCATGTCCTAGGTTCACCTTCCTTACTTGTTAGGCTTCTTGCTTTGAAATAAATGCAGTTTAATTTATCAGTCCTGCCTCATTCTGTGCTTTGTTCCTGCCTGCCCTGACTGTTTGACTTGATCCTTTTCCAACTGTACTAGTCTCAGATTGATCTCTTTCCTCACTATCTCCCTGTGTCCCACCACCACCGCCGCCCCCCCTTACTAGTTTAAATCCTCCCGAGCAGTTCTATCTCCCAGCCTGTAAATTAGACTCCTTCCAATTCAGGTGCAATCTGTCCTTCTTATACAGGTCACTTCTACCCAAGAAGACATTCCAATGATCCAAAAATGTGAATCCTTCTCCCCTGCACCTGCTCCTCAGCCATGCATTTATCTGCTCCATCCTCCAATTCCTATCCTCACTAACTCATGGCCCAGGGGGTAATCCAGATATTGCTACCCTCAAGGACCACCTTTTAAAATTCCAGTCTAACTTGCTATATTCTCTCCTCAGAATCACATCTTTTTTCTCTTCCTGTGTCGTTATTCCCAATGTGTACAACAACCTCTTGCTGGTCCCTCTCCCCTTTGAGAATATTCTGCACCTTCTCTGAAATATCCTTGATCCTGGCACCAGGGAGGCAACACAGCATTCTAATTTCTCACTGTTGGCCGCAGAAACATCTGTCTGTGCCTCTGACTAGAGAGTCCCCTATCACAGTTGATCGCTTGGAACCTGAAATACCCCTTATTATTAGAGCCAGTCTCAGTACCCGAAACCTGGCTGTTAGTGCTACATTTCCCTGAGAGTCTGTCATCCCTATATTTCCCAAAACAGCATGCTTGTTTCAGATGGGGATAGCCACAGGAGATTCCTATGCGACCCGCCTCCCTCTCCTACCTTTCCTGGTGGTAACCCATCTACCTGACTATATCTGTGGTTTTTCTCCCTTCCCACAGCAGCCATCTATCCCATCCTCTGTCTTCTGTAAATTCCTCATTGCCTTTAACTGCCGATCCATGCAATCTGATAGGATTCACAACCAAACACACTTCTTGCAGACATGATCATCATGAAACATGGAAACTCTCCCTAATCTCCCACATCCAACAGGAAGAGCACATCACTCTACTAAAGGACATCTTTGCACCTTAACTGTCTGCAGAGCCAAAAAATAGCACAGTCTTATTGCTCTAAAAAAAAACTCCAAGCTAACTTAGTACCTATATTTTATATTTTTAACATTTAATCAAGAGACAGATCTCAATAAAACATATAATCAGAAAAGAACCCATTCTACTCACTATTGTAGTTTTACAAAATAAACACTTTAAAAAGCCACTTAGCTGCTCCCCTGCTGGGAGCTCTCCCACACAGGTTTCTAAGACTCAGTCAGCATCCAGTAATACCTACCAAATTACTTCAAACATTCCTCCTCAAAAGGATACATGTGATGAAAATGATAGATGATCCACATAAACAGACAATAAATTTTCCCTATACTCTCTCAAAACAAATGCACAATTTGAACAGAGATAGCAGGAACTGCAGATGCTGGAGAATCCGAGACAACAAGGTGCAGAGCTGGATGAACACAGCAGGCCAAGCAGCATCATTGGAGCAGAAAGGCTGACGTTTCGGGCCTAGACCCTTCATCAGAAATGGGGGAGGGGACGGGGGTTCTGAAATAAATAGAGAGGGGGAGGCGGATAGAAGATGGATAGAGAAGAAGATAGGTGGAGAGGAAACAGACAGATCGAAGAGGCGGGGATGGAGCCAGTAAAGGTGAGTGTAGGTGGGGAGTTAGGGAGGGGATAGGTCAGTCCAGGGAGGACGGACAGGTCGAGGGGGCGGGATGAGGTTAGTAGGTAGGAGATGGGGGTACGGCTTGAGGTGGGAGGAGGGGATAGGTGGGAAGAAGAACAGGTTAGGGAGGCGGGGACGAGCTGGGCTGGTTTTGGGATGCGGTAGGGGGAGGGGAGATTTTGAAGCTTGTGAAATCCACATTGATACCATTGGGCTGCAGGGTTCCCAAGCGGAATAACCCCCATTTCTGATGAAGGGTCTAGGCCCGAAACGTCAGCCTTTCTGCTCCAATGATGCTGCTTGGCCTGCTGTGTTCATCCAGCTCTGCACCTTGTTGTCTCACAATTTGAACAGATCTACTCTCAATTTCCTCCAGTGATTACTGGTCATAGGAAATATCTCATAAAGCAGTGAACGATGTTCCTGACATAATGGGTCACCTACGAGAGCTCTGAACATGATTTACTAGTTGGATAGACACTGGATGTCCATTCTCGCCAAGCCCAGTACTACACCAACAGAAAGGCTTTTGACTTGCGCAACATTCTACAAAAACATTGGAGATATGCTGAACCAGATGTTAAGGAGCAGCCTCCTCATATTATGTACAAGAGGCTGGAAACTCTGGCACTGGAGACCTTTTATTAGCTAAGTGGCATTGTTACAATTTTTGAACCGTACCAAAAATCTCAAAAAAAAATGCCTATAAGTAGATTACTTTGAGCTGTTTGAATTAGGAACAATGGTGCATTTTCTTAGAGTGAGATTTCTCTTTGAACATAAATGCAAAAAAAAAAGTCACCAGGGGTAATGAAGAAGGAAATCCTGGCACATTGGAATGGAAAACCTCTATGGCAGCAATTGAACCACTAAACTGCTAATCTCCCAAAAATTTGTGGATTCCGCTGTACAC